CAATTGTATAATTCTTTGGCCTTTTTCTCTACAATATTTGAAGTAAAATGTTTAATTGTATAATTAAGTGATAAACACGAAGATATACATTTTTGCATGTGTATATACAATTTTCTCTCGCTTTATACAAAACAGAAACAAAATTATACACTTCTGTGTATAAAGCGAGAGAGGTGAGCGAGAATGGAGAGTGGCGAGCGAGATTTTTGGGAGAGAGACGCTGGCAAATTTTAGCTAATGTTTGCTATGGAGCACAATTAAATCAAACACTAGCTATTCCATTTAATTTAGGTTATTAGTTTGCTATTATGTACAACTTTCCCATTTATAAATTATACTAATAAATTAAACTATAACAAAGAGTTGAGTGCCATATATTTTAAAAATTATATAAATAGTTTAAATTTAAAACCGTCAAATAAGTGGTCAATTTTGAACCCAAAAGTTGGATGGCAAGGGTATTTTGAAGCCAAAAGATGGGTGAAAAGATTATTTTGAAGTCAATAGGTGGATGAAGGATAATTTTATACCATTTTCAATACTTTAAAGATACTTTAAGCCTCTTTTCACAAAATAAATTTAAAAAATGTATGAATTGAGGAATAAAGTCTATTTTCCTTGATTTGTTGATCGATCAATTTCTCTTAGGTCAAATTTGAGATGTTTCTAGTAATGAATATAAATTTGAGAGGAAAGAATAATGTTTTGATTTCAGCCATTAATTAAAAGATTATGTTGTATCAAATTAATAGTTTAAAAATATGAAAAATGACTATTCAAATCTTAATGTCCAAAAGGCAAGGTTATTTTATGAGTCCAGAGTTAAAAGGGGCAATTTTTTTCTTTCATAAAACATAAAAGGTATATCAATTTTTTAAAAAAATTAAAAGGGTAAAATTGCTTGATTTCCTTCTGACAAGTATAATTATTTATGAATATTTGCCATTAATTTTATACTTTTTTTATATTTTTCTATTTTTTTATTAATCAATTACTCATTTTCGGAATTTATCAAAAAAAATAAAAATTAAATAAAATTATTGAAAATTGGTCGGATAATTTATTTAAAAGGGGTTGATTTATGGGTCGAATTAGGTATTTATGAATCCGAATATTTTTTCATTTTCATATAAATGTTATGTGGTAAGGCCAAAATAACATGGCAATTCAATGTGGAATTTAAAGAAATAAAAAAATGAGTTGGATATGTCCTACATGGCAACTAACGTCCATAAGGGCATATTTGGACCAAAAGTTGGATGGCAAGGGCATCAGTGAACCAAACTTTACACGGAGGGTATATCTAGACCTTTTTGAATAATTTAGGGACATATTTGACCCTTTTCCCTATTTAATATAATGGCAATAGGGTTATTGATTTGTCTTGTAATAAAGGTGTTACTAGGTCTGTAGGATTAAGAGTTTAATCTTCTGTGATTATCAAAGTATTGTATTCATAAGTTGCTTGAAATTAGTGATATTCTTGAGAAATTCTATGCTATGATTTTTCTTTCCTTAAGCAAAAAGATTTCCACAAATATTTATATTTTTTACTTTAAACATTTTTCATTTTTCCTACTATTAATACAATTAAGGGACTTAATCTGTTGACTCGCAGTGAATTCATACAAGCTATCAAAAGCACTCAAATATATAAAGAACTCAGCCACTTTTTCTTTGTTTTATAGTGGCCATCAAATAGTTTTAAGTAGTAAAACTCTCTAAAAATTTTTTATTTTAAAGATGATTTGAAATATTAAAATTTAAGTAAAGCTAATATTTTGTTAGTGGTCTATTCCGTTAACTAACTTAGATTGTGTTTTTCAAAAAAAAACTACCAGTTTGGTACGTATTCTGCTGAAAGTGGGACAAAAGCATCTACCTCATCTTGCAAGTTGAACATGTGGCTAGAGAATTGGTCATTAATAACCCTAGTCCCTAGTGTTTGAGATTAAAAGCTTTTGAATAGTATTGGAGATGGTTTCACCAATTTGCATTGAATTACAATTAAGAGGAGTAGTTGTAAGTAAGCTTATTCAGTATTGTTGGTTAAGATATTTTTTCTACTTATTGATTATGATTTTTAATTAAAAGATATTTATTTTGTTTCAAATTGAGTGACCTGATTTGATTTGACGACATATCCCGTGATAAATATGATCTCATGAAGAATTATGAATGAAGTAGAAGAATTGAAGGAAGGTTAAGAATTATTTAAGTCTACTCTTAAATGTTGCTTTAGAGAAGCAAATCAAGTTTTAATTATTTTATTAATTTACCAAGTCCTGTAAAGGCTTTTTTACA